TATATATATATATATATATATATATCTATATATATAGACAATGTCAGACCACGGAGGAAAAATGAAACAGGAAATTTCCTTAAGTACTTTCGTATATTAAATACATCTTCAGAAGGACCTTCTGAAGATGTATTTAATATACGAAAGTACTTAAGGAAATTTCCTGTTTCATTTTTCCTCCGTGGTCTGACATTGTCACATTCTTAATCACGTGTTTATTTTCGTGATATACACACACACACACATATATATATATATATATATATATATATATATATATATATATATTATATATAATATATATATATATATATATATATATATATATATATATGTCGTACCTAGTAGCCAGAACTCACTTCTCAGCCTACTATTCAGGCCCGATTTGCCTAATAAGCCAAGTTTTCCCTGAATTAATATATTTACTATAATTTTTTTCTTATGAAATGATAAAGCAAACCCTTTTCTCTATGTATGAGGTCAATTTTTTTTTTATTGGAGTTAAAATTAACGTAGATATATGACCGAACCTAACCAAACCCTACCTAACCTAACCTAACCTATATTTATAGGTAAGGTTAGGTTAGGTAGCCAAAAAAAAGCTAGGTTAGGTAGGTTAGGTAGACGAAAAAACATTAATTCATGAAAACTTGGCTTATTAGGCAAATCGGGCCTTGAATAGTAGGCTGAGAAGTGCGTTCTGGCTATTAGGTACGACATATATATATATATATATATATATATATATATATATATATATATATATATATATATATATATATATATATATATATATATATATATATATATTTTAAGCTTGAATGGTCTCCAAGCCATATGCAACTGAAAACTCCACACCCCAGAGGGATTCGAACCCACACAGGCAGGAGCACTATGCACCCTGCATATCTGGTACCTTAACCACTAGACCTCACGACTGTACAAAAATCTTGGTAGTCGTGAGACTGTTTATCCAAGATCCGACAGTGCTCGGTGGTTAATGTTTAATATATATAATCACATTAACGTGATGTTTCAAGGAGAAAATAATAGAAACCCTGAGACGGATTCAAACCTGCTTACTTGGTACTTCCCAGCTTAACACTCACCACCAATACCCTCCGACGCCTCTTAGCTAAGGCTGCAGTGAGGTCTATTAGCCAGGAAGCAGCCACCTTGCTGAAACCTCATCAGCTCGGGTTTGGGATCCCCCTAGGCTGTGAGCTGCAGCACGTTGCTCATCCCTCAGACCAAACGACACTAGTAAAGCTTAACTTAAAGAAAAAAATACCTTCAATCAATTCAGAATTAAGACCGTCCTCCAGACTGTACGAAACCATTTCCTTCGTCTCTATTCTTTCATCCAGTCGGGTTTCAGATTTAACTCCTAAGCTTCTTTTTTTTTGGGAGGATGAAATAGACTCCTGTAGTGAAGGTGTCCAACAAGGTGATCCCTTGGCCCCCCCCGTCTTTTCCTGCTTAGCTATCAAAGTGTTCACTGATAGTCTGACAAGCGAGCTAAACATCTGGGGCCAGATTCACGAAAGAACTTATGCAAGCACTTACGAACGTGTACATCTTTCCTCAATCTTTGACGGTTTTGGCTACATTTATTAAACAGTTTACAAGCATGAAAACTTGCAATCAACTGTTGTTATTGTTATAAACAGCCTCCTGGTGCTTCGGAGCTCATTAACTGTTTAATAATTGTAAACAAAACCGCCAAAGATTGAGAAAAGATGTACAGGTTCGTAAGTGTTTGCGTAAGGGCTTTCGTGAATCTGGCCCCAGGTACCTGGATGATGGCACTTTCGCCGAAACCCCAGATAGCATTTTGGAGCATATAAGGAAAACCCAGGAGCAAGGAGCAGCCTTAGGCCTCATTCTCAATGCATCCAAATGTGAAATAGTCTCCCGCCACCCAGACATCACTGGCCAAATAAGGATGTTATGCCAGATATTCGCATTGTTGAGCCAGCAAAGTGTACCGTCGTGGGTATCCCCGTTGGCCCACAAGCAGTCGAGGAGGACCTGGATGTAAAAATCACCGACTTAAGAAGGATTTAGGACAGGATTGACAAGATCGACGTTCATGATATTCTCCTCCTCCTTACAAGATGCCTATCTCCTCCTAAGTGGACTTCGTTTCTCAGGTGTTCTCCATCTGACACGAGTACTAAATTAAACGTATATGACACAGTTTTGAACTCCAGGCTAGAGAAAATCCTGAATTAGACGACTTTCAATGGGAGCAATCAACCCTTCCCATAAGATGCTGTGGCCTTGGAGCCCGCACGACCTACCAGCATTCCTTTCCTCCTCCTATGCATCGAACGACCTTGTAAGATAAATCCAAATAAAGCCTATGGGTGGAGCCGGCATTTATTGATTGCTCAAATCAGTGGGAGGCCCTTTCGGCCCCCAACACCCTACATGGATCCACCAAAAGAGCACAGACGGTTCAGATGGGACAGGCCAGTAGTGGAAAAAATAGCTGACGCCATTCTCCGCGCTGTACCAGCAGCCTCAGAGTGGTGCGTGCCCCCTATGCAGGGGACTTTCTTCTGGCAGTACCCATGTCGGTCATAGCCACACGTCTAGATCCAGAGACCCTCCGTGTAGCAGTAAAGTACTGACCCTCTGTGCTGGTGCCCCAATTCGCCCCGAATACAAATGTTTTTGCACCAGCTGACCAATATGGACTGTATGGGTTGCACTGCAGAAGCTCCAAAGGCTGGCATGCAAGACACAATGAAGTTAATGACATCATCAGGAGGAGCCATGCCTCGGCTCATTGTCCAGCGGAGAGAGAACCTCGCAACTTAATGGCACACAACCCGGACGATCCTGTGCGTGATATTCGCCCAGATGGCATCACAATATAGCCCCTGGAGGAGGAGCAAATGACTGGTGTTGGACACACACATAAGTATCCAGCCTGGCTGACAATTACTTACACTGCGGTGCTGATCAAGCAGGAGGGGCGGCCAACCACAGGGAAACAACAAACTGAGTGAAGTACTGGCGACTGGAAGGTCAATACACCTCTGTTCCCATAGCGTCCAAAACGCTTGGCCCCTGGGCTAGGAGTGACTATCTTTCTAAAAGAATTGGGTTCCAGGCTCGTTGAGATCACCAGAGACCCATGAACTGTCACTGGTCTCTTTAGGCGCCTCAGTGTGGCGATCCAGAAGGGAAATGTTTGATGTGTCCTCGGCTCCTGTCCAGAAGATAAGCGCCTCGCTTAAGGTTCCACTAGGAGGCCTAAGCTTGTCAAGGTTTCTCTAGGAATCCTCTAAGTTAGGGTAAACCTATACGAGTTGTCTAGGTTAGAGTGACTCCTCCAGGGTTCCTCAGGAACCTTAGAAGATTCAGTGTAATCCCAGGTTGCAATGGAACCTGGGATTACACTGATTATAGTACACCATGTGGTGGTGTAGTGATCTTGAGCGTTAACTGGAGTACACCAGTTAAGCATTAAAAGCTTATTTAACACCTTTGTGTTAAACGGATTATTTAACGGAAAATACACTTCAATTAACCACTTCCAGTATACTCACGAAAGTGATACCAATTAAGACATACATAACTTATCCAAAATAATCACTAGGCTCCTGCTAGTTTTTATTAGCATATTGTGACCAGAAAATAATAACTAGTTGCGTGTTGCATCATCTTGGTTATCTTGAGAGGATTTCGGGGCTTTAGTGTCCCCGCGGCCCGGTCCTCGACCAGGCCTCCACCACCAAGAAGCAGCCCGTGACAGCTGACTAACTCCCAGGTACCTATTTACTGCTAGGTAACAGGGGCATCAGGGTGAAATTAACTCTGCCCATCGTTTCTCACTGGCGCCCGAGGTCGAACCCGGGACCACAGGATCACGCGTCCAGTGTTCTGTCCGCTCAGCCTCCGGCTCCTACTAGTTCCGGCTCTGCTCCAGCAACAGTTTGTAATACCCAAAACATAAACCCTTAATCCATCGCATAGTCAAGATCAAACACGAAATGATTATGCATTAGTTAGCGTAAATATAATTATCTAATAGGTCTTCTCTCACCGGTAATTGTGTGGTCATAAATGAAATGCCAATAAAGCAATCACGTTTTTTACCTAATTAGTGAGAATCTGAGTCCATCAATACATAGAGAACATCCATCCCTGTGAACTGTGCTCTCACCTGCGGGTGTCCAGGTGTTGCAACATGGACGTGTTGCAACATGGACGTGTAGCAACATGGACGTGTAGCAACATGGACGTGTTGCAACATGGACGTGTTGCAACATGGACGTGTAGCAACATGGACGTGTAGCAACATGGACGTGTAGCAACATGGACGTGTAGCAACATGGACGTGTAGCAACATGGACGTGTAGCAACATGGACGTGTAGCAACATGGACGTGTTGCAACATGGACGTGTAGCAACATGAACGTGTAGCAACATGAACGTGTAGCAACATGGACGTGTAGCAACATGGACGTGTAGCAACATGGACGTGTAGCAACATGGACGTGTAGCAACATGGACGTGTAGCAACATGGACGTGTTGCAACATGGACGTGTAGCAACATGGACGTTGCTCGTCAGATATGTTCAATGATAATGAATCCCTTCGGTGTCATCTACTGGGAGTCCAGAGTGTCGAGTTGGAACACCTTCGAGTGATGTGATATTCACCTGCAGTCAATCATCTCCCTGCAACTAGATAATGCAACCGAACACAGTCGACAGACGTCCTGGCCTTTAGCAAGATAACAGTTCATGTTAACCGTTCTTAACAGCTATTAAAGCCTCAGAATTTCCCTAGCTGATCTCTAGATTCCAAACGGCGACGTTTCTGAAAAACATCAGAATCACTAAACGTCTTTCAGACACCAGCGTCCCACTGCGTCTTGGGGGGGGGGGGGGGGGGGGCACGGGCATGGTGTCCTGGGGCACGGGCATGGTGTCCTGGGGCACGGGCATGGTGTCCTGGGGCACGGGCATGGTGTCCTGGGCACGGGCATGGTGTCCTGGGGCACGGGCATGGTGTCCTGGGGCACGGGCATGGTGTCCTGGGGCACGGGCATGGTGTCCTGGGGCACGGGCATGGTGTCCTGGGGCACGGGCATGGTGTCCTGGGGCACGGGCATGGTGTCCTGGGGCACGGGCATGGTGTCCTGGGGCACGGGCATGGTGTCCTGGGGCACGGGCATGGTGTCCTGGGGCACGGGCATGGTGTCCTGGGGCACGGGCATGGTGTCCTGGGGCAGGGGCATGGTGTCCTGGGGCACGGGCATGTTGTCCTGGGGCACGGGCATGTTGTCCTGGGGCACGGGCAAGGACACAGAAAACAGAAGGAGCAACATTTGCTCACAGACTTGGATGAAGTTCATTCTTTGCCTCCCAAAATGTGGAAAATCGATATATAATTATATATGAAGAAACCGGGGAGTTCTTGGATGAATATATGTAAGTGTTATTGTTGATTAGGAGTTAAGGCGAGGGTTCTAGTCCAGTGCCTCGTTGCTGTGTCATGGTTGAGAGTTGGCACTGAGTAGATGTCGCCAGCGATTGGTTCAACCCAAAGGCTTTAAACTTATCACTGAATGAGTAACGCGATAATATTCATGGATAACTGGGACTATTAAACCGTGTATGCGAAGAACAAAGTTAATAATCAATCAGGGGAGAAGGTTATCTTGAGGTTATCTTGAGATGATTTCGGGGCTTAGTTTCCCCCGCGGCTCGGTCTCGACCAGGCCTCCACCCCTAGGGAGCAGCCCGTGACAGCTGACAAACTCCCAGGTACCTATTTACTGCTAGGTAACAGGAGCATCAGAGTAAAAGAAACTCTGCCCATTGTTTCTCGCCGGCGCCCGGGATCGAACCCGGGACCACAGGATCACGCGTACAGTGTTCTGTCCGCTCAGCCACCGGCTGAGAAAACGGCAATTTGTGGAGCCTCGTTAGAAGAAACAGTTTGTGAGTTGTTGTGTTGTTGTTATTAAAGATTTAGCTACTCGGAACAAGTTCCAAGTAGCACGGGCTATGGTGAGCCCCGTGGTGGACTTACCTGGCACAGGAGCGGGGCAAGTAGCACGGGCTATGGTGAGCCCGTAGTGGACTTACCTGCCACAGGAGCGGGGCAAGTAGCACGGGCTATGGTGAGCCCGTAGTGGACTTACCTGCCACAGGAGCGGGGCAAGTAGCACGGGCTATGGTGAGCCCTTAACTTACCTGGCACAGGAGCGGGGCAAGTAGCACGGGCTATGGTGAGCCCCGTGGTGGACTTACCTGGCACAGGAGCGGGGCAAGTAGCACGGGCTATGGTGAGCCCGTGACTTACCTGTCACAGGAGCGGTGCCAGGTTGTGAGGCTACTGGCTTAGAACACGGCACTACGGGTATAACTAACCACAATAGAAAGCCAACCGAATTATTTGGCTGATAAAAGTAATAACTAGCAATTTGGCTCGAATAAAACGAATACAAATAATTGTCTTAAGAATAATGCAGAGGTGTGAAGAAGAAGATGAGGGAGGATCTTACAGCACTGGTGTGTACTGAAGAAAAAGTAAAACCAATTACACTATATGAATGTCGACAATTTACTTGAGAATGGTCCAGGACGGACCGAAACGTCGTCGTCCCTTCACCTTCTAGTGTGTGTGGTCTGGTCAACATACTTTAGCCACGTTATTGTGACTCATCGCCTACAAAAGGGACCTATTGATTGAGTCTAACACAAGGCATATAGACCACCAGACCACACATTGAAAATTGAAGAGACGACGACGTTTCGGTCCTCCCTGGATCATTATCAAGACCGATTGTCGATTAGTGTGTGTGATTTGGTCAATATTTTTCAGCCACGTTATTGTGACTTTTATCTGCAAGGCATTTAAGCATTTTAGTGTTGACAGAACAGATAGAAACGAAGGTGGAATTGTTATCTATGAGAGGGAAGATCTGAGAGGAAATGAGAGGAACTGAAACCTAAGGCACGCAGAAACCGTACTGGAAGAAGTGAGTGAGAGAGAACTGGCTGGAATACAGTGAGAGAACTGGCAGGAATACAGTGCCTGAACTGGCTGGAATACAGTGAGAGAACTGGCTGGAATAGAGTGAGAGAACTGGCTGGAATACAGTGAGAGAACTGGCTGGAATACAGTGAGAGAACTGGCTGGAATACAGTGAGAGAACTGGCTGGAATACAGTGAGAGAACTGGCTGGAATACAGTGAGAGAACTGGCTGGAATACAGTGAGAGAACTGGCTGGAATACAGTGAGAGAACTGGCAGGAATACAGTGAGAGAACTGGCTGGAATACAGTGAGAGAACTGGCTGGAATACAGTGAGAGAACTGGCTGGAATACAGTGAGAGAACTGGCAGGAATACAGTGAGAGAACTGGCAGGAATACAGAGAGTGTGAGAGAGAAGTAACAGGAATACAGTGAGTGAGAGAGAAGTAACAGGAATACAGTGAGTGAGAGAGAAGTAACAGGAATACAGTGAGTGAGAGAGAAGTAACAGGAATACAGTGAGTGAGAGAGAAGTAACAGGAATACAGTGAGTGAGAGAGAAGTAACAGGAATACAGTGAGTGAGAGAGAAGTAACAGGAATACAGTGAGTGAGAGATAACTCACAAACACTGGACAAATTAAGGATCCTAACTATAAACATCACAACAACTGCTAACTGTGACTTCCAAACTCTTCATCATCCTTCGTCTTCACTGACGTCATCACTACAATGAGGACTGTTCATCCTCCAGGCTATTCCTAACCACTGTACCGTCCCATCTTCGCCTGACAGTTACAAAGTTGTTACCAGCACAGAGCACCAAGTGTTCAGTCTGTGTCACCAAGAGCACCGGGTGTTCAGTCTGTGTCACCAAGAGCACCAGGTGTTCAGTCTGTGTCACCAAGAGCACCGGGTGTTCAGTCTGTGTCACCAAGAGCACCAGGTGTTCAGTCTGTGTCACCAAGAGCACCAGGTGTTCAGTCAGGTCACCAAGAGCACCAGGTGTTCAGTCAGGTCACCAAGAGCACCAGGTGTTCAGTCTGTGTCACTAAGAGCACCGGGTGTTCAGTCTGTGTTACCAAGAGCACCGGGTGTTCAGTCTGTGTCACTAAGAGCACCGGGTGTTCAGTCAGGTCACCAAGAGCACCGGGTGTTCAGTCTGTGTCACTAAGAGCACCGGGTGTTCAGTCTGTGTTACCAAGAGCACCGGGTGTTCAGTCTGTGTCACTAAGAGCACCAGGTGTTCAGTCTGTGTCACTAAGAGCACCGGGTGTTCAGTCTGTGTTACCAAGAGCAGCGGGTGTTCAGTCTGTGTCACCAAGAGCACCGGGTGTTCAGTCTGTGTCACCAAGAGCACCGGGTGTTCAGTCTGTGTCACCAAGAGCACCGGGTGTTCAGTCTGTGTTACCAAGAGCACCGGGTGTTCAGTCTGTGTCACCAAGAGCACCGGGTGTTCAGTCTGTGTTACCAAGAGCACCAGGTGTTCAGTCTGTCACCAAGAGCACCAGGTGTTCAGTCTGTCACCAAGAGCACCGGGTGTTCAGTCTGTGTCACCAAGAGCACCAGGTGTTCAGTCAGGTCACTAAGAGCACCAGGTGTTCAGTCTGTGTCACCAAGAGCAATAGGTGTTCAGTCTGTGTCACCAAGAGCACCGGGTGTTCAGTCTGTGTCACCAAGAGCACCGGGTGTTCAGTCTGTGTCACCAAGAGCACCGGGTGTTCAGTCTGTGTCACCAAGAGCACCGGGTGTTCAGTCTGTGTCACCAAGAGCACCGGGTGTTCAGTCTGTGTTACCAAGAGCACCAGGTGTTCAGTCTGTGTTACCAAGAGCACCAGGTGTTCAGTCTGTGTCACCAAGAGCACCGGGAGTTCAGTCTGTGTCACCAAGAGCAATAGGTGTTCAGTCTGTGTCACCAAGAGCACCGGGTGTTCAGTCTGTGTTACCAAGAGCACCAGGTGTTCAGTCTGTCACCAAGAGCACCAGGTGTTCAGTCTGTGTTACCAAGACCACCGGGTGTTCAGTCTGTGTCACCAAGACCACCAGGTGTTCAGTCAGGTCAGCAAGAGCACCGGGTGTTCAGTCTGTGTCACCAAGAGCACCGGGTGTTCAGTCTGTGTTACCAAGAGCACCAGGTGTTCAGTCAGGTCACTAAGAGCACCGGGTGTTCAGTCTGTGTCACCAAGAGCACCGGGTGTTCAGTCAGGTCACCAAGAGCACCGGGTGTTCAGTCTGTGTTACCAAGAGCACCGGGTGTTCAGTCTGTGTCACCAAGAGCACTGGGTGTTCAGTCAGGTCACCAAGAGCACCGGGTGTTCAGTCAGGTCACCAAGAGCACTAGGAGTTCAGTCTGTCACCAAGAGCACCAGGTGTTCAGTCAGGTCAGCAAGAGCACCGGGTGTTCAGTCTGTGTCACCAAGAGCACCGGGTGTTCAGTCAGGTCACCAAGAGCACCAGGTGTTCAGTCTGTCACCAAGAGCACCGGGTGATCAGTCTGTGTCACCAAGAGCACCGGGTGTTCAGTCAGGTCACCAAGAGCACCGGGTGTTCAGTCTGTGTCACCAAGAGCACCGGGTGTTCAGTCAGGTCACCAAGAGCAGCGGGTGTTCAGTCAGGTCACCAAGAGCAGCGGGTGTTCAGTCAGGTCACCAAGAGCAGCGGGTGTTCAGTCTGTGTTACCAAGAGCACCGGGTGTTCAGTCTGTGTTACCAAGAGCACCGGGTGTTCAGTCTGTGTCACCAAGAGCACCGGGTGTTCAGTCTGTGTCACCAAGAGCACTGGGTGTTCAGTCTGTGTCACCAAGAGCACCGGGTGTTCAGTCTGTGTCACCAAGAGCACCGGGTGTTCAGTCTGTGTCACCAAGAGCACCGGGTGTTCAGTCTGTGTCACCAAGAGCACCGGGTGTTCAGTCTGTGTCACCAAGAGCACCGGTGTTCAGTCTGTGTCACCAAGAGCACCGGGTGTTCAGTCTGTGTCACCAAGAGCACCGGGTGTTCA